AACAAGAACAACAAGAACAACAAAAACAAGAAAAATAACATGACAAACATCAAGATCAAGAATAAGAACAAGAATAGGAACAAGAACAAGAACAAGACCAACAAAAAGAATAAGAACAAGAAGAACAAGAACAACAACAAGAAAAAGAAGAACAAGAACAAGAAGCAGAAGGAAAGAAGGAAAGAAAAAATTAAAAAATTAAAAATATACATGGATCATGCATATTTCTATATTCCCCTTATACTCTGCAACCACTGAGTTTAGAAGATAGCATCTAGAAAGTACCCTGAGTTCAGGGTACTTTTTAGATAGTATCTTCTCTATTTTTAACTGGAATGAACAGAGTTTGGGAGAGATCACTTCCTATTCTGTTAAAAGCAAACACACATGTTTCACAACACTACTAAGAACCACAGTTGGTGATATTAAATTAAAGGTTGAATTAACCCAATGCCTCTGGGAGAATTTTGGGTTCACTTGGCCTCTGCTCTGAGAAGTGTGTGCTGCCAACTGGACTTGGCTCAGGGGCCTTTTCCAGATGAGACCAGTACATAAGCACCTGCTGCACCACACCAAGAAACTGACTGATTGATTGATCCCCCCTCCCCACCAGCATATTCTGAGATGCACAATATTCATATTAGTTGCTAGATCAAATCTGCAGTATCCTGATTATCTACATTAGAGTCCATCTCAATAAATAAGGTATGCTGCACTCTGTGTACAAGACTGAATGTGGTTTTACTGAGGGGTAAAAAAAAAAAAAAATTCTCTCACTTTTGTAAATCTTAACTTTATGAAATAAGAGACAGTTACACACAAGGCTGCTACTCCCACAGATTCAGTACTTCCCTTTTGTGTGTCATATTTCAAGACAGTCACACTGGCAGAGCACCAAAAGACAATATGAGTAGTTGACGCAAGGAGACTGAAGGTTATTTACAGGTTCACGTCAGCAGCAAGAGAGCACTATGTTCTGGTGCTTGAAATATTACTCGCATAGCAGTCAAAAGATTTATGTGCTAAATAACGTTATTATACAAGTCAATAGCCACTCATCTCGGTTCCTTATAGAGAACATCATAATCTGTAAAGTATGGATCTTTGTAACATGACGTGAATGGCCCATCGCCTGGAGCCATATCCACAGTCAGCCATGATTTGAATGACCCACCACCTGGAGCCATGACCCAGTCAGCCATGTCGTGAACCCTTCAATCATCCTGAGGCTAAGGGCTAATTACACTCGCGTCTTTCTTTCTTTTCTTCTTTTTCATAAATCAAGACAAAATAGAGCAAATATCATAACTTCAATAATGATTGCAAATACAATTACCTCATAAAAAGGATGTTTAAAAAAATATTAATAATATACACCATTACCTAAAGACAAAGATAATCAGACTCATGTATAAAGATTAAGAGTAGGTAAGTGCGACTCACTTGGGGATGATAGTCTGGAAGCGAGAGTTGACTGGAATGCGGCCCTTCTCGTCTTTCTCAATCCCAAGCTCCTCCAGGCCAAGGTTGGTGGTGTAGGGCCGACGTCCCACACAGACCAGGAGGGTGTCACATTCAAGCTCCTCTTTCTGTTGTTGTTGTTGTTGTTTTAATATATTTCTATGTATCTACTTAGTATCTAAACGTTTTAAAAACAAAGATGTACTATAAGATGCTATATGAAGAGATTAAATGAAGACAGTGAAGAAAGAGACAAAATAAAATAAAAATTAACAGTTAAAAGAAGCAAAGAAATAGGCTGAGAAGAAAACATAACCAACCTTTCCATTCTTGACTCCCTCAACAGAAACCATGACCTTGTCGCCTTGCTTGCTGGCACTCAGGACCTTTGTGCTCAACTTGAACTTGAGACCCTGTTTGGTCAGGATTCGTTGGAAGTTCTTTGAGATCTCTGCGTCAATACCCAAGCCACCAATGGAGCCTAGGAACTCTACAGCTGTCACTTGTGCTCCCAGACGAGACCACACAGATCCCTATGGGTGTTTCTTAGAATTAGGGAAATAGGGCTTCATTGTACCTAATTTGTGTGAAACTTTGGCATTACTTGTGTGTTTTGTAACTTAGGAAGATTTCTTGTTCTGTTCTTACAGCTAAATCTACAAAGTTAGACCATATGAAGCATTGCTAATCCATTATATATGAACTGAAGAAGAAAAAGAAAAAAATAATAATAATAATGATAAATAAAAAAACTTTGAAACCCTCCATTATAGATCGATAACTAATTCCAATATAATTCATTCCACAACCGTAAAAAAGAGACACAAACAAAGTTGAGTAACCACCACCACATACCCCAAACTGTTTTTCCTTTAATACTCACGAGCTCTAGGCCAATGACACCAGCACCAATGAGGATCAACTTCTCCGGAACATTTTTGAGCTTGAGTGCGCCAGTAGAGGATACAACCTGCTCCTCATCGACAGGGATGCCTGGGAAGGGAGTGACCTCTGAGCCCGTGGCAATCAGAATGTTCTTGGTTTTGACAGTGTCATTAGAGCCGTCTTCTTTGAGGACTGTCACTTCGTTGGGCCCTGTAATCTTGCCATGGCCCTGAGGATAAGATGGAATGAATGAGGTAAAGGAACATATTAGGTATAGTATGTGACCAAGAAGGTAAAAAAAGAAGGCAGGTAGGTAAGAAAGCAGAATGCAAAGAAACAGAAAAAGATGAAATGGGAAGACAAAAAAGACATACCAAGCCAAAGAGAGAAAGAGTGAGTGAGAGTGAGAGTGAGTGAGTGAGTGAGTGAGTGAGTGAGTGAGTGAGTGAGTGAGAGAGAG